AGCAACAACAACAAAAGTTAGGCCTAACCTGAAGATATTTCTTGTCTTTATTCAAAGGAAAATATCTCATGGTTCTAAGTGCATAGAAGATTTTAGAGTTTGGCAGAAAACAGCAAAGGGCAAACAGTTGTAAGTTTCTATATTACTGTTTCAAATTCTCTTTATTGTCTTGTGTTTCTCCACTATTTTCTCCTTTAGTCCACTTTCCTGGTCCTAGCCCTAATTTAACTATTCCATTTTTATTTCTGTTTTAATGGCTTACACAATTACATTCTATCTCTCCTTCATTGAAAGGCCACTCGTGGATGTCTAGTAATTTGCTGACATTGATGGGTATTGCAAATGAAATCCATATATTCTGAAGATTCAAAGCTAACGTTCACAAATGGAAGAAAAGACGTGACATTTATCTTTCTGGGGCTGACCTGCCTAAGCTTCATGCATTTAGATACACAGTTCATTTTTCTTAATAGAAAAATAATATTTCACTGTGTAAATAAACAACATTTTCATTATCCATTCATCACGTGATAAACACGTAGGCTTTCCTTTTCTGGGCTTTTGGCAGTATAGTAGTAATGAGTATGGATAAGCAGGTACCTGTATAGTAGGCTATACAGTCATTTGGGTATTTGCCCGAGAGTGGTAGATCTGAAGCATGTGATAGATGACAATGCAAGGAAGAAAACATAGTCGTTCCTTAGAGCAATGATAGAATAACTAGCATATACAAGCATGATCTTTCATTTCTAAAATTCAAAGGGAAGTATAAGCCCCTTCAGTAGATATATTTGTTACTGTGGTATACTCAGACAACAGAATATTACTTGAGTCTTAAGGAAACAATAGTAACAATTCTCCAAAAGAATCGGATACAGGATGAATGAATATTGAACATGACTGTGTCAAATAAACCAGTTGGCAAAACAAGGCCTACCTACTGGATACTTCCAATTTGATGTCATTCTAGAAAATGCAAACAAATAGAGATAATAGAATGTCAATAGTCCTCAGGGAGGGGTGATTTGATAGAGCATAGCATGTTTGGAGAAATGAGCCTGTTCTAAATGATACTATTAGAATAGCAGATGAGTCTCACCACACATTTCTGCAAACAATAAAAGGCACACACCAAAAGTGAACCCTAATGTAAAGTGCACTTCATGTAACAATTAAATCTTGCTGGAATTCCATCATTTCTATTCTTCTGCTGTAGAAGCTTTTCATAATAGTGGGTGCAATTTGTCTATGGAGACAGGAGATGTAGGGGCATTTTGTTTCTTTTGCAAAATTGTGTCATGAACTTAAAACTCATCCTATAAACGGTCTATTTTCAGAAATATTTACAATGCAAAAGTTATATTTAATAGGCAGTGGGCTTTAAAGTCTGTAAGAATAGTACTTCTACCGAAAAAGAGTGTGGGGGGTGAGGTAGAGTTTACACCCACCTGTACATACTTAGAGATGGATTCATACAAAAACAGAGATTAAGCTAAACCTCAAACACAGAAATTGTTTGCAAAAGTATCTTTAAGTTTGTCCCAGTCTTTTAAGCTCAGCCCTAGTGATTCAAGATATGAAAGAGAGTGCCTTCAAAGGGAGAGTTAGGAAACCCCATAGCCTTGATAAAACCACATCAAATGAGATGCTAACACCCCACATTGATCACACTCAGAAAGCCTGACTGAAGATGTTTATCCTAATCCTCCAATCCAGACACTTCCTGAGATATGGTCAGGAGGGGTAATTACTCCAATACATAAAAACAGAAATGCTCTCAACCCAAACAGCCAGAGAGATCTACATTAGCTGCACCGGCAGTAAACCCTGACGCTGCATCCTTGGTGAAAGAATAAAGCAACGTCGCTCCGGTGACAGCAACATCCATAAATCCAAATTGGATTCCTCCCTTGAAAATGAGCCACAGACTTCATCTCTCCCCAGATTGCTGCATATTAACAAATATGTAGGAAAAACCCAACTGGGAGGAGAGCTTTTTCTTGCTTTATTAGAGTTTAAAATCGCCCTGGACTCAATCTGGCACCAGAAGTGAATCCATGACTGCTACAGAGGGAACGGATGGAAAAACAAATGACGTATATCAGTTCCTGTATCAATCCATCAATTGAAGGATGGAAATAAGCATAAATGGATGCCTTCAAGCGAGAAAGTGAGACAAGGACACCCATCTCATAGCTTAATAGATGCTAGGATGAGTTACTCCTGGGGTTAGAGCTCTACCCAAGCTCAGGGCCTCTGACACACCAAAGAAAAACTGCCTATCAGGGCACCACACTGGGTTGGGTGTCTTTGTGGCATTTCCATCATTCATGTGGGAACAAAGCAAAAGAAGTTAGTCACACATTAGTAACCAAGCTCTCTAGATCCATCTGTGGAACAGTTCTTAGACTATTTTATTGATGATATGATAGAGTAATGATTGATAATAACACACAATATGGAAAGCAGCATGCCTGGTTGATCATTAAAATGTGAATGACAGGAAATAACAGATTGCAATGTGCTTAATTCAATGAGTTTTCCAGTACCCAAAATATATGATTTGTCTCTAGCCTTGGAAAGGCGTACAGTCTTTTATATTAATTAAAAAATACTTTCATACAATAATTTTTAATGATACTCTCTTTTGCCCAAATATTTCCTACCATCCTACAAACCCAACATCACGTTCTTTTCCTCCTTTCTCTTAAAAAAATGAAAAAGCAAACAATATGACAAAAAATACTAAAACAAAATAACAAAAAACTCCACAAAAAAAACATGAGTTTTTTTTTTTTTGTGTTAGACAACTTCTCCTGGGCATGAGGCATGTATTGGAATGTGATTGCTAAAACGCAGTAGCAATCCACTGAAGGGACATGATTTTCTCTTTCCAGCAGGTATTAATTGCAAATTGTTTCATTAATTTTCATTTTTTTTTTGATTTTTCAAGACAGGGTTTTTCTGTAGTTTTGGAGCCTGTCCTGGTACTAGCTCTTATTGGCCAGACTGGCCATGAACTCAGAGATCTGTTTGCCTCTGCCTTCAAAGGGGACTAAAAGCGTGCACTACCATCACCCAGCTACAAATTCTTTCTTGGTGATGGGTAGGACAATGTGTCCATGTTCCCTTCCACTGTTGAAAGGACCTGCTTTTTAGTCCGGGCCACTCAGCCCTGAAATAATCACAGAGAAACTATGTTATTTAAATGACTGCTTGACCTATTAGCTCTAGATTCTTATTGGCTAACTCTTAGATTTTAATTTACCCATTTCTAGTAATCTGTGTATTGCCACGTAGCTGTTGCTTACCGGGGAAAGTTCCATCTGGCTCTGGCGGGGTTACATGGCTTCTCCCTGACTCCACCCTTTTTTCTCCCAGCATCAGTTTAGGTTTCCCTGCCTACCTCTATTCTACCCTCAGGCCAAACCAGTTTTTTTTTAATTCATTAATGGTAATCATAGCATACGGAGGGGAATCCCACATCATTCTACAAACAGATATTTTTTTTCTCCTTTGAACTTATGCAGGTCTTGTATATGTTGCCATAGTCTCTAGGACTATGTGTGTGTCAACACTTTTGTGTCTGGAAGATGCTGTTTCATTGGAGCCATCTACTATTTCTGGCTCTTAGAATATTTTGTGTGTGTTTTTGAGTAGATGAATTTAATATAGTCATTTTTAAAATAAAAATATATACTATGAAACTCTCCTTAACAGTTTTTCACAAACATCTCAAGAAAGAAAACCTTCATATTTCTCCCCCGTCCAAGGTTTCCTTTAAGCCAAGAGCATCCCTACAGGGTAGAGAGCTATACAGTAACATATAGCAAAATGCAATCTTTCTTACCTGTTAAATTCAAAGATGCCAAAGGTCTGCAAGGAGTCATTGTGTAATAAACCATACACAGCATCATGGGTATGCATATACTTAGACCACGGCATCTTTTTCAGACCCTTAAGCTGTAAAATTTGAAAAAGAATTAAATGAGAAGAGAAAGAGGATGAAGAGAAGGAAAAGAAAGAACAGGAGGAAGAGGAGAGGCCAGTTGAGAAGAATAGTGAGAAAGGACCCCAGGGAGTTGGAGGAAGAGGAGGAGCAAGAGGAAGGAAAAGAATATCCAACTACAAAAGGGTCAGAAAGTAAAAGTAAAGTAACAAATATGCAATGAGATATTTACATAATTCTTCCTGGATAATGTTTTCCATGAGATAATATTAGTTCAGTGTTATAACTTATTGCTAATAAATGCTTATATTTGAGTCCCACTCCCTTCACAGTTTATTGAGCCTAAGAAGAAGCACTCAAAACAAAACAAAAACAAAACTCCAAAAATAACCCAAAAATGTCTTAATTTTTTTTAAAAACGATTTTTCATAAGTTTAAGTAGGGAGGGGGAGGGTGGAGGGGAAGTGAGGGAGTGGGAGGGGAATGGGAGGAGGGGAGGAAGTGTAAATTTTTGAATGGAAAAAATAAAAAAAACCTATTTTCTAGGTACTATAAGGAATACAGGATTAATTCTACAAATTGGGAATTTTAATAATGGGAAATAATGCATGAAATTAATAAAAAAAACAAAACACAAAACAACTTTATGTGACTATGTGTTCTGGACTTTGGAAATTAAAACAAGAAGCCATTGCAACACCACCAACAACAACAAATAATACATAGAGGAATTGTATGGGAGAGAGAAGACTGAGAGTTTCTCTTCCCTATAAAGATGAAATTACATGGGCAAAACAGAGTACGGTCCAGGAGAGAAATTCTGGAGGTGGGACCAGCTGAGAATGAAGAGTTGGTGACCACTAGAAAACAGAATTTATAGTTACAAGGACCACACAGGGATTTCACAGGTTCCCCAACTGTTTTAGAGGCTTCACAACTGAAGTCAATAATTAAGTCATTAAGACATAGGAATTCAACCTGTAGGAATATACCTGAATTGAGCTAGTATGAAAACAATTATGTTAGCTCACAAACAATCATTGCTTTCAAGGTAAGAAGAATTGTGAAACTACAGATATTTTCTTTGATCTTCAAAAGAAGACTTTGGATACATTGTAAGTAAAATATGTCTTTGCTACTATAATGATGTAAACTGTGCTTACTATTAAGAAAGTGTGCTAATGGCATAGTTTTATGTTAAAACTAGATTAACAGGAACTATGCGAACATCAATTCACAAAATATTTATAACTGACTTTTTAGGAAAATATTCTATGTTTATCATTTTAAAATATCACCAACAAATACATTGTCAATAGGAGAAATGTACACTCAGGACCTACTCTAGGTATTTGATAACCCTTGGCTTTGTTGGAATGTAGTAGAATATACAGGTATCAAATCTTCATTTCTAAACTGCCCATCATTCTGCCATGTGATTAATTTTTTAGTTTGCACCAATGCCCTAGAAATGATCTATTAAAAACAGAAGCATTAACATGATAGTCTCTGATACGATTATCTGTATAAGTGGTTGCGGGTGGATATAGTTTTATTTATTTTCCCAATATATCCTCTATGTTTGCATCAGCTGAGTTTTCATAAGGTGGAGGTGCCATAAGTAATAGCTATAGATTGTGTAGTCTGGGAATTTTATTCTACACGTAAGCATTGTTGACTATGTTTCTCTGATGTTACCAAGCGACACTCACCCACCTGACCCCATCACTTGTGTTATTCAATGCTTCTTTGCTTATCAACATAAAGAGCTAGATGGAAGATTACAAAGTTGAATTATCTACATTTTCTAGCTAAGCTATTCCAGTTACTTTACAAAAGTTCATGTGGTTATTATTCACTCTACCATAAAAATTGTTATTATAGATGCCTTATATGCACTCATGCACTCATTTACTTACTCTTTCTCTTTTCTCTTTCCATGTAACCTTTATTCTTTACTGCTTTTCTTATTAATGTTGTTCAGTGAGTCATGCATTTATTCACAGGATAATTAGCTTTTGAATCCTACAAAACACTAGACATTGATGTGTCAAATCATAAAAGGAATTTGACAGAAAATGTTTCCTCAAGGAATCTGAAGCCTAATTGGAATCATAGAAACAAAGATACAAAGTCTGTGTTTATGATTGTGTGCTTTTAATGTTTTACAATGTTGATTTTACCTGACATAAAACAAAACTATGAAATAATAACAGTCATTTTCCCTATGATATCCAAACTTCTGGTGTTAGGACATTATTATTAGCACTTGTAACTGCAAAATGCCAAGGACTTTTGCTGGAGTGTAGCCGATATAAAATCTAAAGGGCTAGAGAGGACATTGAGGTGGAACATCAGGTAAAACACCAGGAGGAGATCAGAAAATAGACAGGTACCTGAGAGGACTGGAGGCATTGAAGAGTTGCTGAAGAAGCGTAAAGGCTAGAACCCGGGGGGGGGGGGGTAAAGTTAGAGAACATGTAAGAAACTCTCTCTAGGGTGAGATTCAGCTCCTTGGGAATATTTGGCTTTGTTTTCCAAGTTTCTGCTGCCCAGTGCTAAGACATATCATATTGTTGCCCTAATAATCAGATAGTGACTAAATCTTTTTCTGGGTTATGTGATGCTTGAGATTATTGATAAATGCCATAGTGGGCTCTTTATATGTGGAGATCTATTGAATAGCACTTGGGCATGTTGTGTCTTAGGCAAAGGGGATCCTACCCTGAGCTCCAGTCTTTAGGGACCTCTTCTCTTCTTGTTATTTGATCTTATAGCAAACCTCTTTCAAGAGTGAGATGTTCACAATGTCTATTGCCCACAAATCATTAATCCCAACTCAAAACCTTAGAGATACCTTCAGTCCTAGAATTTTCTGCCCAAGTAGTCTCAATTATCTTTTCAGGATTCCTGTGTGACTCTCTAAAAGGGTACTCAGGGTATTTTTCTGGTTACAGACAGAGCTGGTTAGCATACACTCTTGTAAATAAACACAATCTCAATCTTATAGATTTTATAATAGCAATGCAATACTTTACTTATATCTAAATGTCATCTCTTGGAGAACATGTAAAATATCTCTACTGTCACAAAACTTTTTACCTGGAAATGTTGAAAATTTGGAGGCAGTGGCTATCATATCTGATTCTCTATTACCCCAATTTTGGTAAATTTTTACAGATGGAGTCTCTATGATGAATGTAGATAAAGTTTAGAGAGATGTTCCTGTGTTTTCAACACAAAAGCATCATCAGCTATATACATGACACCATGGAAAGGAAATGAAGAGACAGAGTGCAACTAGGTCTGAGAGGTGTTGCACAGTCCAGTGATAAACACATAGCTGTTCTGGTATAGACTCCATAGGAATCTAAGCCTTGTAAATGTAAACATGACTTTGTTGTTGATGATTGTGAGGCATAGACATTAGTGAATTAAGATCAATGGTGAATGGGAGCTGGTCATATAGTTTCAGGAGAGATGTGTTTAGCTTCTTTCACAACTCAGCGTTAAATGGCATCATATTGGCTGCTTGAAAGTGGATGTGACATATAATTGATATACAAATGTATACAGTAAAATCACTTTTTAATTTCTTCTTCTCTTAAGAGTCAACATGCCAGGAGTATTAGAAAGTTGTTAGATTGTATACTTTCATTAAATTATCAGACATCCTTTGTATATCCTTTTAGAATTGTCTTTTTGAGATATAAATAAGGTATAATATTGAGCTCTATAGAAACAACAGGTAGCTAGAGACAAATTATATAATTAGAAGGAAAATTGGAAGGTAATAGCTTGATTTAAGGAACTCTATTCTTGAAATCTTAACTTGAACCTGATATTTCACCAGGAAGTCTTTGACTCCTATTTCTAGTTGGAGTTTAAAGAAATGTTTATAAAATTAGTATTTTCGAATTTAAGTAATTTAAGAAGAAAACATTGCTTATATTATATTGTCTGCAAATAAAAATTCAAGGAAATTATTTTTTAAAAAATGATTTTCTCAGAGATTCTGACTGAGGATATCATGATAAGAGCCAAAAATTTCAATTTTTACTAAAATGATCAGTTCCTTTTAATAAATATGCCTCATAGTGCTTTAAAAATATTAGTAAGTCATCAAAACATCAGCCTGATAACAACATTTTATATACATATACTTGCTAAATGTATATTATAAAAGTATATATGTACATGTGTGTATATATGTGTGCCTGTGTTTGTATGTTGGGCACCAATCTGTTGTAGGGAGGCTACTTGTTTTTAGGCTGCCTGGCAGCTCAGACTCCCAAAGTAATCACACAGAAACCATATTATTCAAATCACTGCTTGGTCCATTAGGTATAGATTCTTATTTGCTAACATATTAATTTAACCCATCTCCATTAATCTGCATGTCACCATGAGGTAGTGGCCTACCAGCAAAATTTCAGCACATCTGTCTCCAGCAGTGGCTCCATGGCTTTTCCCTCACTCTGCCTTCTTTCTCCCAGCATTCAGTTTAGTTTTCCCCACCTACCTAAGTTCTACCCTATCAACAGGACAAGGCAGTTTCTTTATTCACCAACAGTATTTACAGCATAGAGGGGAATCCTACATCATGTGTTTGTGTGTAAAATATGTATGATATATATATGTACTAGTGTTTTGAGAGTGGTGAATATGTTTTGATAATATCTACCCCACCTCAGCTTTTCAGAAATCCACTCCCCTTCCCACTCAACTTTTTTTTAATGCATCAAGACCAAGTTTTCCATGTCAAATATTTTTGGATGTATGGTCTCCCACTAGATTGCTATTGACTTACCAGTGGCTACACTTCTAAAAGAAACTGTCTCTACCCTTTGCAGACATTAGTGCTTATGAATAGATCCTTCAGTAGGCAAGGGGTTGTGTGTCCAACTCTCCTTTCTATGTTGGGATTTGATCTGGCTTGGGTTTCCACAGGATTTGTACATGCTGTAACAACCACTTTACATTCAGATGTGTAGCTATTCTACTGTGTCTAGAACACATAATTTTCTTGGAAACACCCACTGCTTCTTAAACTTTATCAGCTCTCTCTTCTGCAATGATCCATGAACCTTGTGAGGAAAGGGTCCATTATATATACTACACATAGGGTTGAGCATTCCTCAAGCTCATTACCTGCCCTAGATCAGTCTTGGGTATCACAGACAGTACCAGCTTGGATCGTCATATAGCAATAAGCTCAAATTGCTATAATTAAATTATAGTCAAATTCCAAAGTATAACAAAGAGCACAGTTGAAAACTGGTAATATTTGTGGGTCAACAGGACTTCATTGGCCAACAATTCTAAAAACTAACCCACCCCAGACACATTTTTATTTGTTAGCCTCTGATGGCTACTAGGGGTATTACTGACCTGGTATAGAGTAATTATCTTTTCACTCATTTTGTATATGTCTCTGTGTATAGTTTAGAAAGCTTCTATATGACATTTTAAAAAAGATCTTTAAAGGTTATTCTAATACAGTGATATCAATAAGGATAAGTAAATAGCACTAATACCAACTTGTTAAAGTACTATTTCAGTTATTTGTTATTCCAAAATTTATTTTGCTCCACTGACTAGATACTGACTAACTCACACCAACACATGAGTTTTATGGTCTGAGATGCAACTTCTCTGAATTTGTTCTTTAATGTGCTAACTCCAATTGGGACTATATTAAGAATGGGGCCAAATGACTGTAATTAAAGTTAAATAAAATTTACTGAACAAAGAGAAGGAACCCCAAGAGTGTGGCTACATCGAGAAAATGCAATAAGTAAACGCAGCAATATAGGAAGTAAGGTCTCATGAAACCTATCTTGATTTCCCTTTGACCTTGACTTCAGCCACTAGAAAGTTTCTACTGTTTCTACTGATACCTTATTATGGAAACACTCTGGGGCAAATTCTGCTAGCTACAAAAATTCTTAAAATTGATGAGCAGTAGACAGAGTCACCATGATTTTGACTTTGTGAACTTTATGATAAAGATATTTTACTGATCATCCAATAAAAAGGTCAATATTTAATTCCATCCAATCCTGACACTAGAATGACTTCAACTGGCTAAGTCCAGCGCTCTTCTTTCTTCTTG